GATCAAATAGATGCACAACAGTGTCTAACTAAAGTTATACACCTCTTAGCTTTGTTGTTATCTGCAATTTTCGTTTATTAAACATTAGACCTTAATTAAAGCAATGACACTTTTCTATTAGTCACTTTATGCTCCTTGATGAGTTAGGTAGACTCTTTTGGCATATCTTTTACTTGAATTCCAGTATATGTTACAACCTAGTTGTCTTGTGCCTTCCTATTTTTTCTGTTACCAACAAAAGGTCATTGACTTGAAACTCAAACAACGTGATTTGCTGTACTATCATACATTTTTCGACTTTAAGAGTGTCTGAACAAGATAGTAATGAGGATTCAGGTTTTATAATATGCTTATCATGTTCCTCACTAGACAGAGCATAAATGGAATACTATAACCAGTTTCATCCGTTAAAGCCTGTGGCGATATCCTGTTTGAATATGCTCTCTCTCTCTCTCTCTCTCTCTCTCTCTCTCTCTCTCTCTCTCTCTCTCTCTCTCTCTCTCTCTCTCTCTCTCTCTCTCTCTCATGTTATCTGTGATTACATGCCTTGTAGGTCTTATATTTATTGCTTTTGGCCCAAGTTACTCTTACTCCCTGATAAGGTTGTTATATGGTCAAAAATGGAGTGATGGAGAAGCACCAACAGTCCTCCGCTACTACTACATCTACATCTTTTTCGTGGCTATGAATGGTTAGTGATGTTTATTCTTTAAATATGGATCTAAGATTAGCTGCTATTGCATATATAATCATTGTGAAGAGCAAGTGAAAATAATATGAGATGGCATTTAGGATAATTCCTTTGTGCTCATACTCCTCTCTCCTCTCCCTTTAGGTATTTTACTACTAGCTTAGTTGAATCGGTCATGTTACCACAAAATTAGAGTACCAATTAATTGACGTTTCTACTACTTAATCACTCTATATTTGGTTCCCCGCGAATCGCCATATAGATTAGGATGCTTCATAATCCTGAAATATTTTGTCAGCTTATATCGGAGCAGAAAGGAGATATCCAACTATATATTTGTTGATTATATAAGATCATGTCATATGGTGCAGTGTGATTTTCAACTAGCGATTGAAATATTTCATTTGGTCCTGCGGCAAACTGAAGTTCGTCGAAAAGCAAACTGTCTGACTCAGCCATCATGGAGATGCTTACATCACATCTCTTCTGATTATGCATCAGGAACTTCGGAGGCATTTCTGCATGCAGTTGCGGATGAAAACCAGCTCAAACGCTCAAATGATATGTTGCTCATGTTCTCATCCATATATGTGGTGCTAAATATCATGTTAATAAAATCAACGGGTGCAGTTGGCTTACTTATGGCAAATTCTTTGAGTATCCTTTTTCCCCCTCTCAACTGGTGTATTTTCTTGTTAGCCTTCCATAGTTAAGCCAGATTGCTTGGATAAAGAAGCGAATTGTAGATGAACTGTGACAACTTTGAAGTCAAAGCATCAGCCTATGCTTCCTTTTTCTTCAAATTTATAGGAAACCCTATCTTTGTTTTCAGCCCTTCCTTCCCCTATGTTCTAATCCAATTTTGTTGTCGTTTATTAAGGAGTGCTGGTACTTGGTAACATCGTTATCTCTTAAGATCAGGAGTTGAGATTCTTGGAGATTATGTTGATGAGGTTCTCGATTTTTTACTTCCTTGATTGGGTTAAGACATGCTTTTGAGGATAATCTGCTCTGCAACGTTCATAAAAAAGTATTTCCAGGTATGACATTGAATTTGGATCTTTTGCTTGTCTTTCTTGGCAAGTCCTATCCTAATTTTAATGTGTGATTTGGTGGTTTGCACAGGATTCTTCATCCTTTTCATTTCACGAGTGCTTCCCTTCAGGGTCAACAGTTTTGCTGCTTTCTGGTTTAGCTACACTTACCTCGGAGAAAATTTTCTTGGACAAGGAAAACTTTTGGCCCTCATTTTTAGTTCATTTTTTTGTTGGGTTGACTTGCTTCTGCACATCAGCCTTTGTCATGTAAGTGACGCCCTCTTCTCTTATTTCCTTTCATCGACTATTTACCATGGTCTTTTACTGTTTGAGTGTGTTGATGTATTTATGCTAAGCTCGTATGATTTTCTGCTCCATCAGTTATGCCCGTGAGAAGGCTTTTGTGAACAGAGTTATCCGCTTTCGTGACCATGGCGATTGATATACCAGAAATCATCCAAATCCTCAACCAGGTGCACTCATGTTTTCTAAGGCAAACAAGTTTATGTTTGTTTTAATTGCTTAGTTCAGTGAATGATATTACAAAATAATGATTGTTTTGCAAGAAAGACCATGCCCAGTAAATAGAATAATGCTTGCAATGTTCGACATTCTTGGCAACACAACACCCTACAATGCAAAAACTAGAAAAGTTACTGGCGGAAATATGAATTTTGGCAAGAGATGAGCATGATATACTGGACACTACCACAGTTAAAAGAGAAAAAGCAAGTGTTGATCGTATTTTTAGTTTATATGTTAATCTAGCAAGCAATAACCTGAAAATGGCACGAATTACAGACGTGTACACAATGACATGAGATGATTGCCTCCCTTGGGTCAGACACCACAGCCATCTATCATTCAGCTTTTCAAAATTATCGTTGGCTGAGATGGGACCCGGGAGGATGCCACATTACATTCACTATTGTTAAGAAATTTTGAGGCAAATATAAACTCCCTACTACAGATGACATGGTCAACCCCCTACTTTCAAGAACATTGGAATCTAACTTTGTAGTTTACTATTTGAAGGAATTACTTAAAGAATGGGTAAATTAGTATTACCCCTTGGCTTGACTATCGCAGCTCGGTAATTGGTTTCACACGATTATTCTCGCTCTCATTGTGAAAATGAAATCTGCATCATCTCTGGCAGGTGGTAGCTGGTAGGCAAAGGTTTGCTGATGAAAACTAGATTGATGAGGGGCACGAGGAAAGGAGGTGATGTTTTACAAGACACCTGCGCCGTGCTCAATCGCGCTCCAGTCTGACTGTAAGAGACGAGCAATAGGTTCAATTGGTAGTCATGACCTGTGAGAACTTCAGATTGATTAGCAGCAAAAAATGGATTGATGATTATTATTCAGATGTAGACTAGGTATTCTTTCTAAAAACAGAATGGTGACATTTTTAATTTTGCATTTGAAGTAAGATCCTTGAACAGATATTTTCGCTGAGGCCTTTTGCTTCAAAATGCAGGGAGGTACGAGCTACCACCTCCGCAATCTCACTCGCGTTTTAGCTGGTTTTTAAATGCATGTGCGAATTAAATTCATTAAATCATCAGTAACTACATGCATTATCTCAGGGAAAAACATTACGAGGCTTTGTTATCATTGTTGTCATAATTGTTTTGCCTTGCGAGTTCTTTCGCATTAATTCGGTAAACAATTAGATAAGATTTTGTCTGATTTGCAGAAAAGCTCTATTTATGGCCTATTCTGGGTGAAATGTGGCTGCATATCGGATGGTAAATCCCAAACCCTACTTATATGAAAGATAAAGGCAAAGGAAGATGGTTACAGAAACAGGTTGGATACGGAGGTTATGCCTTATTGCCTTCTGGTGCATCCCGATACATGATGCTCGCACATTGGCTTCAAGGCATTTAAGGGAGTTTATTATTTCTCTAGTTCCAAATCGTGGAGGATGAGAATAGATTTGGGAATCTGATCCCAGGCCCGTTGAATGCTAGATCTGGGGTTTCTAGTGAGGAGCTAAACTGTAACTTTTGTAGGACCGAATACGAATGATGGAGGACAAAACCATAGGCTTCTTGTTCATGTGTTTTCCTTTTTTCCGAAAGGCGGAAGCTGAAGTCCAAAACTTACCAGCGAACTCATCAGCGATAGTGATGTTTCAGGTTGTTTTGGACGTATTCTTGGGGCCAGTGCTTGGATCTTTTCTTTTAGCTACTGTTGTTTCAACTTGAGGAGCTTTACTGGAAGATGTTCTTCGCATTTTTTGTAGTCTTTTGGAGTAACATTAAATGTGTATATTACCCGTGAAATCTGATTTCTTCATTCCATTAATGTTGTTAGTGGATACTATGTTGGCTTCATTTTGTCATTTTGGTACTGCTCATCTGATGGCTGATGTTGCTCCAAATATGTAAGACTCGTTCTTTGACATTTTGTACGCTTTGATGTTTGTATGTCTTGGTAATGTACATGCACAAAAATTGCTAAAATATACATGACTACCCCAAAAACTATTAAATCAACCTTAGTTGACCTGCCTCATATAAGCTTTCAGGTGATGAAGACTTCTTATTCAACTACATAAGATGAGTATGAAGTCCAGATGGTGAGAAGGGTACAAAGTTTGGTTTCTAAACTTTTGGTAAATGGGATTAATCATGACTTACTTACATTCTAAACCTGCCAAGTGACACAGAGAGACCTACTGCTTGCTTTGTGCATGCCATTGGCAAAACTTGTCTGCAAACTTGTCTAACAGCATGTTGTTGGATCTGAATTTTGTGGACGGTGGCCTGGAAAAAGAGCCGTCTAAATCTAGTGAACCAGTGATTGTTAGCTTGTGTGAGGAGCGAGAGTTTCTTCTTGACAGTATAGTACATAGTACTGGTTGGCTATGAGTTTTCGAGGTGCTCCAATTTGTGGATGTGTTCGAAATTGTTCGCTCACAATTGTTGAATCGCAATCTTTGTTAATCTGAGTTACGCATTTAACAAAGCGTCGGCCACACACACTTAGAGAATAAGTAGAACGTCAAGCAATTTCATCTTGATTTTTTAACTTTCCTATATCTGCTGCTTCACAAATACACTGTGCATTGCATTATAATTCTAACTGTTCATCAACCATGTGCACAACAATTCCACATAAGCTCCGACACTACATTCATTTGACAATAGACTAAGTAGAAATGATCACTAAATCATAGATCACTAAAGAAGAAAAAAGACCATTATGGCCAAGAACCTAGCAAGCTTCTAAGCAGTGGGGATCGCGGATGGATGGATTCAGTCAGTAGGAACACGAGGGAAGATTGTCGACCGCAGGGTGATCTTCAGTTGCTATATCAGCGCCCGTGACCAAGCTTCCCTCAGTCGTGGAGTTCGCAAAGGCGATCCTGAGGTCGTCGCAACGCACTTCGATGTGCCCAATGTCCTTCTTCTTCGCCCACGAGGCATACGCGTACGCGCCCCGCATCCTCAGCCCCAGCCCAACGACCACCGTCCCGACCGACCTCCGCTCTCGGTCCATGTCCTCGGCCACCGCCGCCTCCTCGGGCCTCCCCATCGTCATCCTCGCCTTGACCACGGTCCTGTCGGTTCTCCGCAGCATGAAGGGCTTCGCCGGTGCCACCGCCAACCGTTGCGCCGCGTCCCAGTGATAGTAGAGGAAGCATTCCACTTCGGTGAAGAAGAGCCTCCCGAAGATCCATGATCTCTCCACCAAGAGGTCGGCATTCCAAGTGGCGCCGGTGGGTGCGGCGACTGTGAGGTTGGACACGATCAGGCCGGCCACCTTCACCGTCAGATAACTGGCCGGGACAACGCAAAACAAGGAGATGGAACCAAAAACCAGTACGATACAGACCTCCAAGAAAACAATCAGGCAAAGGTAAAGGAATTTGTCCTTCTTGTAAAACGGCCGAGGTCCCCTCGGCGGAGGCTGAGGACCGGCTTGGCTGGCGGCGACCGCCGTCGCTGGGGCGGGACGCGGCGGAGGCTGAGGACCGGAGCGACCGGCGGGCGGCTTCGCTGGGGCGGGACGCGGCGGAGGAGACGCCATGGGGAGGAGGATTCTCGCTACCTTAGGGCTTCGGGAGTGTGAACTGTGAAGAAAGGGAGAGACGTTGATTGGACAAGGGGATAAATCCCACGGCAGTTACGACACCGTTAAGAATAACGGTGCCTTTTTTAACCGCAACGGTCCCGTTTCCTCTTATCAGCCCTAAATTACTGGAAAAAAGTTGTAAAACCAATTTCATCCTCTATTATTATCCTTTAATCTGTGCGAAAATTCAAAACTGCTTTTTTTTTAATAAAAAAAATGGGGGTCTGTTTGTAGCAATTATGTTGCAAATACGTGGCGGTGATGATTTATTTGTAGACATGGTTGCAGGATTGTAATTTGTTTTTACTTCTGGTGTTGCCAAATAAAATTTGGACTTATTACATTACGTGCATGGTATAAGTACAACAAACTTAGGGACCTGAAATGTCGATTTTCGAATGTCATGGGTTCTCTACAAAATTAACCGAGATTTAACACGGTGTAACTGTGGACACAATTTCCTCCGTATTGAAAATTTGAAATAACCCGTATTTTTGTTTGGCCTTGCTAGTAAAAAGTCCTAAGTCCATGCATATTTTAGACGGTCAATATTGGTCCAAAATTAAAAAATTAATATCACGTAGTCAAACGTTAGAAATTTACATATTGTAAATAAAGATATTCACATTTTAGAAAGTTTTGCACTTACACCATAAAATTGAAAATTCTTCGTATACTGTCATAACCGTAATATTAAAAAAATTTTCATTGTTGCACTTTGTTACAATAAAACTTTGTCAAACGTCGTCACAAAATACTCGAAAGTTTTGAAAATGTTGAAATATCAAATACTACAGCGTACAATTGGTCCATTTATGACATCTTGACTTTTATTTATCACCAAAATATTTGGAAATTTTCAAAAATATTCAACATCAAATACTGAATTGTACAACTGATTTATTTTTAAAACTTAGAGAAAACGTCTAAGTAATAAGTCTTTACTATAAATAGAAAATTTTTTATCCCAAATGAGTATATATCTTATTATTAGTAGTAGTAGTATTTCACATTTTCTTGACATTGTTTCTCAAATTGCGTCTGAAATTAAAGGACAATTTTGCAGGAACTTTGGACGACGGGACCCACCTATGTGTGCTTGCAATGTCCAAGCCACGCATGCAAAATTGCTGAGACATTTACATTCTCCATGGAAATCGGAAGGTTTTTAGATGTCTTGTTTGGCAGTTGCATTAAGGGTATATCAAATGAGATGTTCATCGATTACGAGGGTCATTAAGAGTATATCGCGTCTTTAAATTTTGAAAATAAAATATATTAACTTGTTAGTTAGATTGACTACAATAATTAATTAAAGATAGTTTCTTTTTTTTTATTTAGCCAATAAGTGATTTATCAAACACTTTACATCGAAATTGAAACTCATTAGCAGAAAACTCAATTTTACAGATGAAATGTGTAAATTGATTTATAATTAGATGATACGTATATTTTCGGTATTTAGTTTTAAAAAATTATCAAAAAAATTCAAAAAATCCAAAAAAATTGAAAAATTCTAGAAAAATTCATCACAATTTCCAAAAATTAAAAAAAATTCAGATTTCGGGAAAATAGGAAATTTGTTGAATTTTTTTCAAAAAAAATCAAAAAATCAAAAATTTCAAAACTTCATAAAATGACTTAAAATACCTGTGGCCATCCACTTTTAGTGAAATTTAAATTTTTTTAGGTGCCCAAAAAAATTCAAAAACTCAAAAATTTCAAAACTTCACAGAATGGTTAGGGTGCGTTTGGTACAGCATTTGGAATGCTACTTTGGGAATGCAAATGCCTTTGGGTGGAAGCCCTTTAGGAAAAATGCAAATGGCGTTTGGTAAAAACTCATTTGCAAAGCTATTTTGACCCAAGTGGTGTTTGGTTAATTTTTTTACAAATGGGCTTTGAGGGGTTTTTTTAAAAAAGGCAAAAATACCCTTCGCCGGCTCCGGCGAAGGGCTACTGGCTCCGGCGAAGGGCTACGGCCGCGGCGAGCGAGACTGGGCGCCGGCGCCGCCGCGCCGTCAGCCGAGCGACCCCGGCGAGGGACGCCGACCTCGGGCGACGAGGCCCGAGGTCGCGCGACCTCGGCGACGAGGCCCGAGGTCGCGCGACCTCGGACCGACGGCCGCTGGGTCGCGCGACCCAGCCGACGGCCGCCCGGGTCGCGCGACCCCAAGCCGACGGCCACTGGGTCGCGCGACCCGGCGACGGTCAGCCGAGGTCGCGCGACCCCGGGCGACGGCCGCCTGGGTCGCGCGACCCCGTGGCGACGGCAGCCCTTGGGTCGCGCGACCCCAGTCGACGGCGCTGAGGTCGCGGACCCAGCGGCCGCACTGCGGCGGTCGCCCGACCCCGAGCGACCGCGCTGGGCGATCGCCGACCCGGCGGCCGTCGCTGGGTCGGCGACCTCGCCGACCTTCGCCGTGCCGCCCTTTGCCCTCGCCGGAGTCCCTTTGGTGAAGAAGATGAACAAGAACGAGAGGGCAAAGCCGGAATATTGAAATTTGAGTGAGGGTAATTTGGGAAGTATAAAAATGATTTTGGCATTTGATTCAAGGGAAAGTCCAAAGCTAGTCCCGATCGAAGATTGGGCTTTCAAAGATTGAAAATGCTAGTTTTGAGCATTTTCAATGCTCACGTTAACCGTTTGGTGTCAAGATTTTGGGAAGGGGCTTTCGGGGCTGAAAGCCCCTTCCCAATGCTGAACCAAACGCAGCCTTAGAATACCTGTGGCCACCCACTTTGAGTGAAATTTTAATTTTTGGAGGTGAAAAAAAAAGCAAAAATCAAAAATTTCAAAACTTCACAGAATGACTTAAAATGCCTCTAGCCACCCACTTTAAGTGAAATTTGATTTTTTTTAGGTGCCCAAATGGTATTTTTTATTTATTTTTTTTTTTCATTATTTTTCGGCACCTAAAGAAAATTAAATTTCACTCAAAGTGGATGGCCACATGTATTCTAAGCCATTCTACGAAGTTTTGAAATTTTTTATTTTTTGCTTTTTTTTTTTTATTTTTTTGGCACCTAAAAAAAATAAAATTTCGCTCAAAGCGGGTGGCCACAAGTATTCTAAGCCATTCTGTGAAGTTTTGAAATTTTTGCTTTTTTGCTTATTTTTATTTTTTTTCGGCACCTAAAAAAAATAAAATTTCTCTCAAAATGGGTGGCCACAGGTATTCTAAGCCATTCTGTGAAGTTTTAAAATTTTTTATTTTTTATTTTTTTCGGCACATAAAAAAATTTAAATTTGGCTCAAAGTGGACGGCCACAGGTATTCTAAGCCATTCTGTGAAGTTTTGAAATTTTTTATTTTCTGTTTTTTTTAATTTTTTTCGGGACCTAAAAAAATATAAATTTCGCTCAAAGTAGGTGGCCGTAGGTATTCTAAGCCATTATGTGAAGTTTTTAAATTTTAGATTTTTTGATTATATTTTATTTTTTTTGGCATCTAAAAAAATTAAATTTCGCTCAAAGTGGGTGGCCATAGGTATTAAGCCATTTTGTGAAATTTTGAAATTTTTTATTTTTTGATTATTTTTTATTTTTTTGGCATCTAAAAAAAATTAAATTTCCCTCAAAGTGGGTGGCCACAGGTATTTTAAGCCATTCTGTGAAGTTTTGAAATTTTTTATTTTTTGCTTTTTTAAATGTTTTTTCGGTACCTAAAAAAGATTAAATTTCGCTCAAAGTGGGTGGCCACAGGTATTCTAAGACATTCTGTGAAGTTTTTAATTTTTAGATTTTTTGATTATTTTTTATATTTTTGGCATCAAAAAAAAATTAAATTTCGCTCAAAGTGGGTGGCCATAGGTATTCTAAGCCATTTTGTGAAATTTTTTATTTTTTGATTATTTTTTATTTTTTTTGGCATCTAAAAAAAATTAAATTTCGCTCAAAATGGGTGGCCACAGGTATTTTAAGCCATTCTGTGAAGTTTTGAAATTTTTTATTTCTGCTTTTTTAATTTTTTTCGGCACCTAAAAAAAATTAAATTTCGCTCAAAGTGGGTGGCCACAACTATTCTAAGTCATTCTGTGAAGTTTTGAAATTTTTTATTTTTTTATTTTTTTCGGCACCTAAAAAAATTTAAATTTCGCTCAAAGTGGATGGCCATAGGTATTCTAAGCCATTCTGTGAAATTTTGAAATGTTTTATTTTTTGCTTTTTTTTGACACCTAAAAAAATTAAATTTCGCTCAAATTAGGTGGCCACAGGTATTCTAAGACATTCTGTGAAGTTTTTTAATTTTAGATTTTTTGATTATTTTTTATTTTTTTGGCATCTAAAAAAATTAAATTTCACTCAAAGTGGGTGGCCATAGGTATTCTAAGCCATTTTGTGAAATTTTTTATTTTTTTGTTTTTTCATTATTTTTTTTTTTTTGCATCTAAAAAAAATTAAATTTCACTCAAAGTGGGTGGCCATAGGTATTCTAAGCCATTTTGTGAAATTTTGAAATTTTTTATTTTTTATTTTTTTATTTTTTTCGGCACCTAAAAAAATTTAAATTTCGCTCAAAGTGGGTAGCCACAGATTCTAAACCATTCTGTGAAGTTTTGAAATTTTTTATTTTTTGCTTTTTTTTCCCACCTCAAATATCGTAACTTCCAGATGAACATGTGTTTTGAAGAAAAAGTTCTCTCAGAAATAATTCTCATTTTTAGTTTAGAAATAGAAAACCTACTTTTTTTTTATTCTAATTTCTGGTTCAGAATTGGTTCTGGAACAAAAAGTTGTCCCAGAAATAGAAAAATGATATTGTGTTACCAAACAGGTTTCTGTTCCAAAATTGTTTCTGGAACAGAAAACTAGTTCTGGACAAAACTAGAATGGTTATCATGCGCTACCTAACACAAATGGTCCACAAATTTTGGCTCAATATGTATTTTAGTCTCTGAATTTTAATTTGTTCAATTTAGTTCTCAAATTTTAATCCAACATGTAATGTCGTT